CTGATGCCTGTCCATCCCTCCTTGGAGGGTCTGCTGCCAGGCAGCGCAGATGGATCTGTTGTGTCTCATGTTAGAGTTTAAATCAGTTCAGAATAGTTTTTCAATATTTTGGCTTAATTAGTTTGCACTGGATAATTTATTGTCCAACTGCCTAAAAGCAATATCTTATGAGCCCAGTAAGCATTTAAAGAGGGAGCTTTTACCTTTCCATGTGTGCTTTGCTACATCTTTGCGTTCTGTGCTACAGGTCAGAAGCATTTATGGTCCCAGGCTTGTCCAGCCTGATGCCTTACAAGACCATATTACAACTACCAAGGGTACGGTGACAGCCCTAAATGCCAAGTTCCCTGATGCAGAACCAAAGATACAGTTTTGTCATTCCAGCTCAGCCCTGCTTTCTGCTCCACACTTCTGACAGGGATCTCTTTGCCTTTATCTTTGGATCTAAAACCTCACCCAGATGAAAAGAAGGGTGGGATAAAACAAAACAGGCACCACTAAGTGAGGCTTTAAAAGACTAGTTTAGTGGAGATTCACTGTATTGTAGCAGAGTTCTGTTTAAATGGAGTCTTTCATCTAGCAGAGTCCCAGTTGGTTTACAAACCACATATGTGTATGGTAATAAAATACATACAGCTTCAGTCACACTGATATGGGATATAGGAGAAAGCATAGCAGTGCTCTAATAGAGAACGTACTTGTGCTACTTGGGTACTTCAGGTTTAAATGAAGAACCTTTATTTTGCTGAGAACCAGAGACTTTTATAGCAGCTCCCGTGTTAACACCTGTGCTGGTATTAATCGATGAGAATGTGGAAAATATAATTATCACATTGCTCCTGCTTTATTCCCACTAATTTGTTGATTTCAGATTGCTCATCTGCTTGCAGTGACTGATAAATATTGTTTGTGGGTCATCTGGAAGTGGTAGGACTAATGTAATTAGTATAGCCTTCCTATACTTGTCTTTTAGGGCAAGAAATAAAGAAGTGGCTAGTTGAAGCAAACCCCAGTGCGTCATTTTGATGATAAGCACTAGCAGAGCAGTAGTGAAGGTTATTTCAAAAGCCTTGACCTCTGAAAAGATTAAGCTCTCTAGAGCAAAAGGACTAGCTTCCCTTGAATCTTCCTTGGTTAGCCTTGCAAGACCAGTGGAAGAAAACCTCTACTGCCTCTTTGAATCCTCGGTAATTCTTACAAGAACAGTCCCTGCTGTGGGCTGCCCCGTGATGAAGTGCCTATAGTAGAACACATTTTGTAACTTGACAATGAAATGTCATTAAAGGATTTACCTTCTTAAATAAAGTGAAGTGAAACTGGTCATCCTGGCAGGCTTCCAAGCCCTTAGGAACACATGTGTGAGAAGGTGTTGAGGCATAGCCACTACTGACAAATGCTGTGTGGTTGACGAGCATCCTAGAGATGCGTGATGACGGATATACACACGCAGCCTTGGAGGACTTGGTCTAGCTCCAGCTGAGGGTTTGATTCGGTATGTTGGAGCAAACTTTTGGGAGAGGATGTTGCTATAGGGGAGCCAGAGGATTGTGCTGGAAGTGATATTAACAGAATCCTGGAAGGATTTAAAGAGGGACTGCACTACCATACATGAGGTTGGAGAAATGAAAGGTCTTAAAATTTGACTTGTAAATGCATTGCAGAGTACAAGGAACTTCAGCGGGAGAAATCTGATAAAGGGAGAGATACTCCCTCTCCTCTCCTAAATGTGTATAATGGAGTTCCTTTGCATGTATTGAGCATTCCATCGAATGCTTTGAAGGTGTTAGCGTTAATCTGTTCTCTGCTTTTATGTTTTCTCATTTTGCATGGTATTCTGGTTTTGCATTTGTTTCAGAGAGCAACTGAGTCAGGCACATGCTGGGTGGGCCTGGATTCTGGAGGATCCAATAAACAAGTATCATCAGAATTTAAGAGTTCAGTACTTAGTCCTCAAGATGATTGCTGTTCTTTTGTAGTATTACAATGGATGTTTTCCCGAGAGTTACACTATATTTGGGTTAGTTTTCATTTGTTGAGGTGAAAACAGTAGCTTGTGTTGACCTGGCGTGTGCTTTGATCATCTGTATTAATAACCTCTAACCACTTCCTTCCCCCCACTCCCGTTTTGCTGCTTGTGTAAATTAACCTCTGCTGTCACTTCTGGGTAAGGTTGAGATTAGCATCTTTTATGTCTTTTCAAAAGCTGTGCTTAACTCTGTGTAGTTACTGCATTAATGTAATCTCAGGTGGGACATTTCCAAAGGGTTGTTCAGTTACACTACTTTTCTGCTATTCCACATGCTGTTCTCTTGACCCTGAATACATTGTACTACCTGCAAAGTAGCTCAGTTTCTCTTGGTTTCGGTCTGAATCTGCTAGCTTTATGCAACTATTTTTTTTTTTCCCCCGCTTTAAGGTGTAATGAATATTTACTTTAAATATTTTTGTTTGTTTTTAAGTGGGCCTCCAATTCCCCCTCCTCTCCCAGCTTGGTTTGGGCTCCTTGCACAGCTGGCTTTTGTACCATCAGCAAAAATTGTAAATGGCAAACAGCTGGACTACATGTGTCTAACACCATCCCAGTTCTGACTTGCTGCTTAAGTGAAAACAAATTCAGATTTTTCCCACAGTGCTTTGGTTAGGTGGAGCTCCTCTAACTGGAGAAAGCTACTTTTGGTGCCACGGATATAACCCTTAAGGATTATATCCTTAGGTTTCTTAAGGAACCAGGCTGTTCCTCAAATTTATGGGACTCTTCTTTCTTTCTTTCCACTCCTTCATGAATAATAATTAAAAAGTAAGTTCTTAAAGGCAAACAGGATTCATGCTTTGTTATCAGTTATTAGTCAACTGGACTGAGAGGCTGCCTACAGAGTATTTAGCTTTTGTGCTCAGAATCAGGATTAACAACTTTCTGTCTTTACAAATTAGAACTCTTGACCTCTCTGTTAATTTGGTCCTTATTGTATCAACTTGGAAATACTCCACGCTTCCCCTTCTGGAAGTGTTTAATCTGCTAAAATTATTACCTCACCTACATTTAGAAGCCTTCTTGGAAGGAGCCCAAAGCTGCAGGTCAAATAGAGAAATACTGAGCAAGCAGTGGGGCTGGGCCGAGGGCTGCTCAGGAACCCAAGGCAGAGCCATGGCCAGCAACTTGCAAACGCCGCAAACTTCTGATCTGCCCTAAACAGTATGGGTTGGGGTGGGCACCGCAGAGTCAGATCTGCCCTCAGCTTGGGCTGATGTACATGGACTTCCACATGACTGTAGGCAGTCAATCCTGGCTTTTCCTCTGAGGATGAGAAGATCTGGGAAACAAAGGTGGTTTTGGTTTCTTACCTGCTCTACCTCTAAGGTTCCCTAGGTAAAAAGCAGCAGGGTTTCTTGAGTTTTGGAGTTGCAGCTTCTTGCAGAAGGTATGGGAGGGGGATGCATCTCTGCTCTCTTGCAGACATTTTGCTCCTCCCACCCGTAATGTGCAAAGCGTAGGGATTCGGGGTTTGTTTTGTTTGTTTGCTTCCTGTTTTAATCTAAAATCCAAGCAGCTTAGAAGGAACAAAGCAGAAAGTCTCCCCGAGCATGCAGCGTGGGTGTCTCCTGTGTGACAAGTAACTGCTTTTACCAGTCCAAAAATAGCCCCTGTGCTCTGTGCGTCGGGAGCGTTCTTGGAAACACGGCACGGATGCAGTGCGAGGGGACACGCCAGGCACTGGGGCATTGTAGCTCTATCACCCCACCCCGTGCCTGCTCCCTGAGCCCGCAAGAGGGAGGGACACAGGCAAAATTTTTGCCTCAGAAAGACTGTAGGAAAAATGAGGGTTGGCTGGCAAGTTTTATGTGTGGGCTGGTCTAATCTCGAGAAAGCACTAGTGTGTTCTTCTCCTACCGCACACTTAGCCAGTGCGTTTCGCAAATACCCCCGTGACCTATAAACAGACAATAAAATTTGTGGGTGTGAATAGCTGACAAAGTCTGAGGATTTAGGGCATGAACCCGCTAACCTTTATTCACCCAGATAATCCTAATTCATGCAAGTTCTACCCAAATTTGTTGTCGCTGTTCATCCAGTGAGTCAGGGTAAGGCCTTTCTGCAGGTCACATTGTATTCTCCTGAAAACGGCTTGTGGTGCTTTTGTTTCCCTTTCGGGTAACTTCTGTGGCACGCTGCCCAGCTCACTCACATCTCCCAAATTCGAAAATAATAAAA